CAGTTCAAGGGCTGGGGATGTGGCTCAAGTGGTAGCATGCTTGCCTAGCATGCGTGAGGCACTGGGTTCGATTCTCAGCACCACATAAAAATTAAAAAAAAAGATATTGTGTCCACCTAAAACTAAAAAATATATATTAAAAAATAAAATATAAAAAAAGAAAAATCCAGTTCAAGTTACCTCTCCAAATTAAAATAAATAAATGAATAAGTAAATGGGAGGTTCACCTCACTAAATGTCAGCTATAAAATTTGGGAACATTCTAGGAAAATTTGCAGGTAGAGTCTTAAAATATAGTGGCTGTAAATTACTGAATCTGAAGAATTGGGAACATTTCAGGTCATTTGGGTATTTTATTAGTATTACAGTGACTGGGATAGAAAAAAGTAGAGGGATAAATATCAGACCAGGTAAGATTTGGCTCCATATATAGATTCAATCAGAAGAGAAGGTAAGTAGTGCTAAAGAAAGAGAAGAAAATACCAGAGGGCAAACTTTGAGAAACATAGGCTGAGAAGTTCATAAAATCACATTACCTTTCATTGTTCTTTCCACGCAATTGTGACTCTTGTACATAATAGCGATGACAATGAATGCAGTGGTCAGATAGTATTATCTGATCTGAGTGACTCATTATACACAGCTAAATGCAACTGGTCTGCACTTCTGCCCACACATTCCAAGGTGACCAAAGGATAATATAATAGGAAACCTCTTTTTTTTTCATGTATGCATGCTTGCATTTGCATAAATGAATATGCATACACATCCATAATGTGAATATAAATGTGAACAGAAGTGTTTAGTCATATATCCTTATTATGTGGTGTTTATTCATATATCCTTATCATGTGATGATGGAAAGAAAATTGAATCAAGATTCAAGAGACTTGGGGCTTTGGTTCTACCACAAGTCCATTATGAGACCTTTCTCAGGCCATATGTTCACTTATCTATGAAACAAGATGTTTTAAACTAAATGACTCTTCTGATTCTTTTCCATTCTAAAACCCTTAACATATACCTTGGATAAGTCAGACATATCTCCTTTTCTACCAGAATTCTAACTTAGTTCTAACTTAGTTCTAACAGTTCTAATTTTTACCAAGGAGACAACTAATACTACAGCCTTTGACAAGATATTTTCTCTCTCTTTTCTATGATTTGCTGCGGTCTGGCTGGGCACAAAATCACGAGCCACTCAAGCAGGAACAAACTTTATTTTTGAAACTGCCACCAATGCCCGTACGCTCCTGGGAAGATTTCCGACCGACCCACGAGGCCTTCTCCCGGACCCCAACAGGAAGTCCCTCCTCCGGAATTCCCTCCTACCGCACTTCCCCAACCAATGGGAATTCTCCAGGAGTCCAGTAGCAGGCCGAGGTGGACAGCAGGAGTCCAATATACATATGAATGCAGATCTTAACATAATCATACCATCTCAATGGCTTGCTGGTGTCACCTTTCAACCAAAAATGCCATGCATCATATTACTTGGCTGTGACTCTTAGCAATGATTTATTCTTTACTTTCTCATTTTTTTCTTTCAACAATAAAAAGGGAAGCTATCAAAAAAGATATTACATTGTAGGAAGATTTTATCAACTACTTCCAGACATTTGTGTCCATGACTTTAGGACCTAAGAACAATATCTTTGTCACAAAATGAAGATTTGCAAGATCTTTGGGCACTTGGAAAGTACCACAAGTGGGGGTATCATATCTTTAATCTAGTTCTGGTTTCTCAATCAACCTTGTAAATGTTAAATGGAGGAGTAAATAAGATAGAAATGATCTCTGCAAGATTCTAGTAGAGGAGATAGACATTAAACACATCATTGGAAAATGTAATTAATTATAATTATATTATCTGAAGAAAAAGTTGGAGCTATTAAGTGTTTTGAGAGGCTGTCCTAGCTTTGTGGTTGAATTCAGTCACTTTATCCTCTAGGTCTTGAATTTTTTCTACCATCAGTAACTTCTCATTCTCTTATTTGAGAGAAAAGCAGAAACATGTTCACCGTTTTAACATTCATTGGTTTCATATATGCTTGGATTTTTTAGATTCTTCTAAAATGTTTTTTATTCCTTCCTTTTTATAATTTATTCAATGAATATTTATTAAGCGACACTTTATAGGGTTGAGATTCAGAAGTAGAAGTCACAATCTCAGCTCTCAAATAGTTATTGTCAGGACAAGCACATAAGCAGTTTCAGGTCAAGTAATTGATTATTAGTAAAATAAGAGCAGTGTCTGTTGAGAATAGAGGCATTAAGGCTACCCTTCATTGGATCTTCTAAAAAATGGTTCCTTGAAGAGCAAGAAAGAATTAGCAAGTGAAGAAGACAGGAAGTAGGCTGTTGGATCAGATGTTCTGCACACCTATAAAAAGACATAGTGGTAGAAGATTCTATGGATCCTACCTAGAATGGGAGCTCTTGATTCAGATGACTACATGGTAGTCACAAAGGCAGAGTCCATGATTGGAAGATTAAAAAAAAAAAAAAGTAATGACACATTTTATGGAGCTACTATGATTTTTTTTAAAGGGATAAAACCTCCTTGCTCTGTTTGATTTGCTGTGTTTGGATCATAAAAGAATAAATAAAAATTGCTCAGAATGGATCTGTACATGAGGCCTGAAAATCAGCAAGGAGCCTCTTGCAGAATTCTGGGGAAGAGATACTGAGAAACTCAAGATCATAGCAACAAGAGTAAGGAAAGGAGAGGAGATTGTCAGCTTGTCAGCATCAATGTAAGATTTGGGATCAACTGGACTCCAAGACTGGAGGTAGGGACTCTGAGGAGAAGAAAGGAGTGTGTGAAGATTCTAAGTTGTCTACTGGTATAGTTGATCACTGATGTTTCAATATCTGGGATAGACATGAAAGCAGGATCAATTTGGGGTGTGGGGAGATCAGTGCTATCATGACCAAAGTCCTTATGGAGCACCTGTGTAGAGTGGTCTAGAAAGAATCCAAATAGATGAGTCTGGGGTATAACCAAGGAGAGTAAATTTGGGAAAATACAGTAATAAACAATTGAAGTAAACTTGTATTTATTTTATTGATAAAAATGCTAAAAAAGCATAATTTAAAGGTCTAACAGTGTAAGTCCCTGATAAATATATTTTTAAGAATCAAGGGATGATAAAATGAATGAATTAATAGGAGATGTTATGGGATAGCAAAATGTTCCTATTCAATTTTATAGTTTATGTATAGTTTATGTCTTTGTGTGTGTGCATTTGTGTGAGAGGATATAAAGATTAACAATATATTAGAACTATACATGTACATTGGTATGCTGGGTCTGGCATAAGAAAAATACCACACACAGACTGGGTGATTTAAACAACAAAATTTATTTTCTCTAAGTTCTGGAAGTTACAAATTCAAGATCCTCCTGCAGTGTTGATTTTAAGTTAGGCTTTTCTTCCTGGCTTGTAGAGATAGCTGCCTTGGCACTGACTCTTCATATGGACTTTCTTCTCTGTCAGTGGAGGGGTGGGGGAAGAGAGAGAGAGAGAGAGAGAGAGAGATCAATCTGAGGTGTCTTCCTCTTGTAAGCACACCAGTCTGTCCAATAAGTCCCAAAGCCATGACTTCTTAATTGCCTCCTTAAGGCCTATGTTCAAATACAATCATATTGGGGGCTGAGGGTTCAACTTGTGAATTTTTGGTGAGGGACGCTATTTAGTCCATGACAAAATCAGCTCATTTGACATCCAAATTGACTTTCTTCTGAGAAAGGACAGATCAAAAACAAGAGATCACTGTGTGTCATAAAAGAGGTAAAGGTCAGAACTAGAGTTTGCTCATTTATAAAATATGTATAATTCTTTTCTAAAACTGATTATATCGCAAAACAATTACATTCCTACAAACATTTTTTTTCTTCTTTTTGGAGAGGATTTATAAGCCACTTGCAAATCAATACATCTTTAAATAGTAGCTGAATGGGTTTGATCAATTTTTTCCCCCTAGAGCTCTATGGAAACCAGGTGGTAAGAGCCAGAAAAGGTACACATCCCACAGGAATGTCTTACCATGAAGATTAAATTTAAAGAGGAATTGCTTGTAGAAAACCGCGTTACATTCTTGGCATGTGAGCACTTGGGATAATATTAACTTTCACTTCGGGGTATTTTTAATGTTTGGAACTAATCTCAGTTTATTTTGCGCCTGCGAGGTTTTACCTCTTTGTACATTTGACCTCCATTTGGGTCTAGTGTTGATGCGCCCTGTAAAAGCTTCTTGGAATTGCGAAGCTCTGGCCCTGGTGTCCAGGTGACACAGACAGGGTGGGATCCTGTGGAACTCTGAGGGCGCGGAGCCTCTAGCATACCATTCTCCTCCCACCACCATCCCATGCTGGGAGGCGGAGAGGGCTGCAAACTTCGCTCCAATCCGCAGCCAGCCCTCTCCAGGGTCCCCCTGCTGGGCGACCCGCCCTCCGCAGACAGAGTTGAGGCAACTTTGCAAAGCTCGGCGTCAGAGCCTGGGGAGGTGAAGCGTTCCCCCTCCTCCCCAGCCTTCTTCCCTCGGTGCCCCCGCCTCCCGGTCCTCGCCCAGCAGCTAGCGCTGGTGATAGGACGAGCCCCGGGCGTGCATTGTGTATATGCAAACCAGTGTCCCGGCTCCCCAGGGCTACCTAACCCGGGCCAGGTCTGTGGCTGCTGCTGCCTTGGGCATCGCTGCCCTCTCCGGAACCGAGCACTGTCATGCTCCGGTTGCAGGGCGGGCGGCTGCGTCCCGGAGTCGCTATATAAGCTCGGGCAAGGGGGCACCCGGAGGGGCTGAAGATGAAGGTGCCCGCGCATGGGCCGCCGCTGATTGCCAACCCCTCCCGAGCTCGCTCCCGGCGCGGAGCCGGAGGCCGCCGAAGACCCGCCTTCGCCGCAGTAGCAGCTGGAGCAGCCACAGAGGCAGCAGCTGCGGCGGTGGCAGCGGCGCCCCTCGCGCCAGCGCGTAAAGCGGCGGCGGCAACTCGGGGTCCGCCTCTGCCCCTGCTGCCATGAGTTGTGCGGAGGTGATGTATCACCCCCAGCCGTATGGAGCGCCCCAGTATCTGCCCAACCCTGTGGCAGCTGCAACCTGCCCCACAGCTTGCTATCATTCGGCTCCCCAACCTGGCCAGCAGGTGAGTCACCGAGCAGGCAACCTGCCGGGGGCGGGGGCGAGGGGCACCGAGAGTATCGGTCTGGGGCTCCTGCGACATCCCGTCCGGCTGGGACGGGTGGCGCAAAGGATGCTCTGGGACCTGCGGAAGCGTCCCTGAGCAGAAAGCTAACAGAAGATAGGAGGAGAGGCTTGGGGAGGGAAGAACAGCCAGGTGGATGGGTGGGATAAGAGGCATTACCTGGCTGGGGGCTTTATTGAGCTGTTGTCACCAGAGCTCAGAGGCTGATCCTCAAAGCCACCCTGACTCTTAGGACTCAGTTCTCTGAAGCTCACCAAGGGCATCTGACTTAGGACTATGTGAGTAAACTTCCTTTAAATCAAATATTTTGTTTCTTTGGAAAGGTGAGAGTGTGCCAGCCAGGTTTTTCGGGATTAGGAGAACGAAGTGTGCCACTGAGGTATAAGAGGCTACCTGAACAGTGAGCTCATGACATGAACTTTTTGGGGAATTTTAGGGTGGAACACTGGCCTAATGCAACCTATATTGAATATTTCTATAACTTCTCGAAGAGCTTTTCTCTGTGACTGTGACTTAGACGGCAGCGATGTCAAGGTTCTTCATTCATTTTCTAATTCCATCAAAGCACAGAGCCTGTTAACAGTGTTTGGTCTGTTGAAACATGTGTTCCCCATTCCAGAGGTAATCTTGAGTCCCTGGAAGCTGGGTTTCCGCCATGCTAGGCGACTGAATGCATCCTTAAAGAGGGACTCAGAACAAGGAGACGATCTAGTTTAGAAGGGAGACCAGGGCTCTGTGGAATCAGACACTAGGAGTCCTTGGATATTACTCACTGAACACCACAAGGTTTAATTAGCACTACATTAAAAAATATATGTGTGTGTTAAGGGACTGTACCAAAATAGGATCCTCCTCAGATTGTGGGGTTTAGAGTCTTAAATGCCACTAGATATGGTTAGGGGTTAGGGCATTATCATTGACAGAATTTACTGATTTCCTTGATTTTTGTTTCTCAGGAAACAAATGTTTTATTGTGGCTCTACGTACTTGACCCTTTAGTTAATTCGCACCTCGAATTTTTATATTTCTTCTTCTGTTCCTTTCCTGGATTGATAGGTTTCTTTGGAAAGAAACTATGACTTTCTATTTAAATTTTAGGGGCTGTAAAATTCAACTGATTCTGTAAGGGTACGTGCCCCAGATTCATCTGCAACACAGAACCAACTTAACTTGTACCAGATAGGGTGAAAAAGGAAGAAGCCCTACTTTCTTGCTATTATTTATTTATTTGTTTATTTGTACTATTCAACAGCTTCAGCATTTCAAGGTGAAATTACTTTTGAAGAGGAGGATGGGGAAACATTTTGTAATTTGTACTGAGGATGAACAGATTAAAACATTTAGTTTAGCTGTTTTTCTTTGGTATATGCAAAATATCAGTAATAGAGGTTTAAACCTATGGGAGTTCAAGTGGGATAAGTGAGGCAAGGAGACCCTGGGGGTATTTTTAACATCCAGTCCAGAATGAAGCTCTTTTCCTCCATCTCTGAAACTCTAGAGGACTTCAGTTAACAGTTGGAGTGTAGATAAGCAACAGATTCAAACTTTATTAAATATTCAGAAAGATAGTTCCCCCTCTTAAAGAAATCTGGTGAGCTAGAAGTTGCAAATAAGGTCTTTTTGTAGAGTTGTGAAATTAATTCAATGAACCTCTGTGTAGGGATTAGTATTGTAATACTTTATTTGTGTTAGAAAGTGCAATCCATTATTAGAAAAATTACAAATTACCAATCATAAAATTAGTTTTCCGTGAGGAATGAATTCATTCTTTTACTAAAAGCTATCAACAAGCTGAAGAATGAACTTAAAAAAAAAATCTTTGTAAACCTGAGTTGTCTACATTTATGTTGTACTATGATCAACTTCTACTGTATTTGAGCTCCTGTAGACATTGCTTAAGTAGAAGTTTGGCTGAGTTGATCATAAGAATTGAGTTGAAAGGGGTGCTTGGAATTTTCATGTTGCTTTTACTAAAATGTCTTGTTCAAATCTCTCTCTCTCTCTTTTTCTTTCTTTTTTTTTCTCTATTTGACATTTGACTGGCTAGGGAACTAAAGAGAGACTTGAAAGTATGACTACTGTTCTTTTACTGTCAAGAGTTTATTTTGATGACCTATATTTTCTATTGGAGAAAAGAGTAAATCAGGAAATTCTTATCAGGCTGACAGCATTTTTAGACTATGCGGTGCGTGGGTGAAGTGGGACTAATATTGACTTGGCCCTAATGCAGTCATCCGAGAATACATATTTTGGTTGTTTTTGCATTCCATAAGGTTTTATCATTATTGTCCAAGAAGATTGTTTTCACCGTACATGGGAAGTGACCCCTAATAGCATCTTGCCTGTGAGACAAAAAAATGGGGCTTCAACTCCTAGTGCTCTTGAAAAACTTATTTATTGAGGAAATAAAAAGGAAAGGAATAAAAAGTCTGACAGTGTAATTAAGAAAGTTTAATGGTCATTTATAAAATGCTAGGAGAGAGAACATTAAAGTTTTATATTTTTTTATTCAGTTGTCCTAATGTATCTTTGCACTGATTTTCCCTTCAAATCTGCATAGCTCTGAGGTGCTCGAATGTTTGCTTTTGCCTCACAAATGCTAGACAAGTAATCTACCACTGAGCTATACCCCTAGTTGTGAAGTCCTTGTAAATTAATGTATCAACATGGTTCATTATCATTATAATGAATCTTAAGCATAGGTATGCTTTTCTTCTCAATGCATGATCATATACTGAAAATTCTTTGTGAACTAACTGAACTTTATTTTCCAAGCAAGTGTATTCTCAGCCTTTCCCCTAACAGCTGATATTTTAAGTTTAGGTTTTTATAGAACATATTATATGTTGTTGGTGAGTGGTCTTAAAAATATAGAAAGCTGCACACACCTAGGCTGTCCTATAATCTGTTATGGAGGCATATGGTAGGCTACATGAATCAAAGTAATTTGTAAGTGTCTGAAGAGTAAATTAAATCCTATAAATTACATGCTATGCATATATCTTACAGTGAGTTGTACAGTGCCAGGTATTTCTGAGAGATGCTAAGCCACCTATTCCCCATGCCCACCATCTCTTTATTGCCCTCACTCATCTATCCTAACATCTCCTCAGGAGAACTCTTGACTCGTGTTTCTTAGCACATGCTCTGGAGGCTGATGACACTGCAGAACGTGTGTGGAAAGGAATGCACTTGTATACTAGCAGTGACAGTAGGAATCAACAGAAAATTTCGAAATATGTGTCAGAAAAAATTGAAGGCAATGATATGAAATCATAGATTCCCTTCATACCCCATGGACTTCTCATCTTAAATGCAGACAGTCTGTTGTCTACCCACCCTACACCATGTTCTTAATGTTCACATTAGGAAGATTCTTAAAGGAAAGTTTTCAGAATTAAGTAGTTTATAAATGAGATGACAAAACCAGAAAACAATCTCCAAATTTCTAATTACGCTCATAAGTTTTTAACAATCACATTTCCGGCTTTGTGAAAGTTAGAACATATTTACTCTGTGCTTTTCAAGGGTAACAGCTGGGTGAATCTGCATGAGTGCTTTCACTTAAAAGAGTTCCCTTGGGAAGCAAAGCTCCAGTTATAAGTTTGTAGAGTTTTTTCAAACTCTTTCTCTGGACTCTGCCACCTTGGTTAAGTCATAAAACTGCTCTGAGATTGTTTGTCATGGAAAAACCCTGGAAAAAGTACTTCACCCTCTCCTTTTTGCATATGGGAAAATGCATGTTCACAGAGTTGAAATGCCTGGTTAGAGATTTAAAAGCTGATTGGAGAAAAAATCAAGGCCACCAGATCCCCTTGCCTCAGTGTAGCATCTTTCCACCATACCATGTGGTCTCTCAGTCTTTTATATATTCTCTCTCTCTCTCTCTCCTCTCTTTTTTGCTCTTGCACAATAGGCTTATTTTTGTCTTTAGTGCCCCAATCAACATTTTTGATAAAGAAGATTAATATGTAGTGGATTTTTGGCCTTGAAGTTTTAGATTCTTTCCAAGTCCTTGGTAGTGTACTTTTTTAAGTTTAGGCATTCCAAAGGCCTTTTGCAAGCATTTGTATTATGCTAATGACTTTTACTATCCATGTTGCATGTTTTATCTATGAGACAGAATATTCACTTAGAAAATGAACATTTATTTATTGAAAAGAAATTACAGGCAGTGGCATTAACAATCAGTTTTAAGTGCCTTGTATTTCATTGCTATTTGAGCATAAGTTTATATTCATTAAAAAGAAAGAATACAATTATAACTTAAATAGTTTCAATATACGGTCAACTTATTTAAGGCAGAGGATTTAATTTTCTTGAAACTGTAAGCAAAGACTTAAATGGATTTGTAAGAATTCATACAGGACTCCTTTGAGAAAAAGCAGCCTCTACCATTCCACACTACACAAATTAACTTGACTACAAAGACTTAGATTAATCTGTCCCATGGCTTTGGGTTCCCAGGAACTTCCTAGCCAGAAAAATTCAAAGATAGAGGGAAAATTAAAGTTTCAAATAACTGAACTATTGGCTCTGGCAGTCAACCAGAATGGAGATTACAATAATTATGGAAAGAGGAGGATTGAATCTATCATGCAGAGTGAGGATATGTTGGCTAACAAGCCAGATACACCCACATGGTGATCCTAGAAATTTAAGTAAAGGATACTTTGACTAAATGCAAGGGAGTCCTACTTCACCTAGCACTTGGTAAAATCTCAAAAAGTTTAAGATGGCAGGGATGCAAGCCATGGCAAGGGAAATGTGGGTGTTCAGAGCAAGAACCTTGCTCTTCTGCTCAGCATCTCTTCAGGCTACTGCAGAAGAGACACTAAGCTGACCTCGCTGAGTAGTGTGTGTATTTCTGTCTTGTATCCATCTATAAAAAGAGAATTTTCAATGAGAGTAAAACAATTATGCATATGATGCCTAGGGCA